TTTCCTCTTTACTACTTTGTTCTTACTTCAGTGCTGCCTAGCCACATCCACCTGCGTTTCATCCAGCTAGTAGAAAGGTGGAGGAGGTATCGCTTATTCACTTCAGTATTGTCTTCACACAACTAACGGAGACAGCTCTGTAACCAACTTTCTTAGATGATTCACGACTAATGCTCGTCAGTCATGGATATGTTTTGTAATGCAAATGTACATTGAATCACATACTTCATACACATTTTGAGCTCGTAGCAAGATTTATGCATATGCCTAACCCACTTTGATCGCAGAAAGTGGTCTTTTTCATTTTCCATCAAAAAGGGATGTCAGTTGAGTCAAAACAATTTTCTCGAATTTTGTGTCCAAAGTATCTGGCTCTGCACGAAATGGGCAACTGCACTGTTGTTAGCATCCGACAATGCTGGTGAGCATGCATATGTGAGATTGGAAGACTTCATTTTAGTGGTTGTTATAGCATCATGCCGACTTAATCAAGGGTTCAGTTGTTTATGTGGAGGAGGGTAATAATTTCCCTAGTGGCTGACAAACCATCCATGTTAGTCTCCTTCTACATTTTCCCAGCAATATTTGCGCAATGGAATTGCAGCTTCCCTGAGTAGGACAGTTACGCATTCCCTCACGGACTGATCCACTCTCGCCATCAGATTAGAAGTGACCGGTGAATTGTGTCGCTGAATAATTCAAACTTATCACTGGTGGACGATCAGCAGTCATGCTGCCTCTGCGCTATACCCAGTAATAACATTTCACTCAGGGGTAAATAAAGCCTTTGAATAAATTGCCTACTATCACTCTCCTGCCTTACTTGGTAGGAATGAATAATTGAGATGGTGTGTCATATGAGAGTAGGAGAGAGGGGAGCCAGTGAAAGCTGAGCAATGAAGTCAATACAGGTAGGCAATTCGCCTACGTGCCTGAAGCTGGTGCTACAAGGTGCTTTTAGTCGAAATCGAATGCGAGAAAGGGGGCAATTTTCGCCTTCCAAAATGATGCAATACGATTGCTTACAAAATCAGGAAGGGAAGTGACGAGTACATTGGTTTGATTAGAAATGAGTGAAATGGGGATTCTGGGTGAAGTGTTGCCTGATGGCGTGTTTTTCAAGGTGAATGATATGGCATGCATCTATGAATGGGGGAGTTAGTTACCAGACTGACGAATTCAGACACAATTCTTTAGCTAAGGTGCTGTTGCATGTGGCGTGACCATATTTGTTCTTTCTGTCATGTGAGAGGGATCGTGCGGTGACCCACACACAAAACATGCACTAAGACTACAAATGAGAGGTAAAATTGAGGAATTGTGTGTGTGCGGTGGCTAGCCGGAAAGCAAATTGTTGAGAAGAAAATTAATCTGGTGTGAGAAGCAGGCATTCGTGAGTTTCTCGTACAACTAGCTAGGCCAATTACTGATTACTTGGCGACCGGTCGCTTTAATGGCTTGGGTGGAATAGGAATAATGGAGAAGCATAAGGTTGGTTCTTTAGCATGCCTCATTAGGCACTGATTGCACGTAAGTCCTTTTATGGTATTCCCTCATTGCCAGTTTGGATGCTGCCCATGTCATAATTCCACTTATTACATCACCTTTCACCTCGAGTTGCATTGGAAACACAAACTTGGCTAAATGGGGAGACAAAGGAAGCAGTGAGTTGATAATGAAGCATGTTATGTGGAACTCAAAGATGGGACACCGTGATGTCCTCAACCTCAATGGCAAGTGGAGTGGACAAATGCAAAGCAAGCCATATGCAATTGCGACTGACCATGTGGAGTTAAGGTGGTGGTTTAGCCACTCCTTTTGCAGTCAATGAATGCGTGACTTGGTGGAGGTAAAAGTGCATTCGCTCCCATTCACTTGATAGGTGGAGTTCCCGCCTATTTAATGAGGCGAAACTAAAATTCATTTGTATCTCCATCATTGATCATGCGGCAAAAATATCCCATAAGTGACAAATTTGGAATGAGTTCCTAAATTCTGCGAGGCGCTTTTTAGAAATGTTATGAGTCTAGTGGTTAGAAGTTAAGGTGAATGTGGGCGGGGCGGAAGGCATCTGTTCGACTCCTAACTGGATTTCTTGCACAGGTGTGATGCATGTTTGTTGTAATGGACCTAATAGGCGAGAGGTGGGTGAGAGAATACGAGGCATGTGACGGATTGGACGCCATTGTTGCCGTAAGAAGAAAACTTACCCTGAATACGCCAAATCGTGTTATCTGTGCTCATTTTTTTGTCGATACTCCATAAAGCAGCTCTTCTGACAACTC